TAGAGAGAATTTTTTAACACTAAGTTATAATAAACAATTGGTATAAACATCTTTATTTTATTTTAAAAACGTGAACTAATTATGCTAGTAAATGGATTGGATTCGTAAATCACTTGTCAAATAACATACTCGGTATTACAGCTTGTATATTCATCTTTTCAACTTTCTAGCGAGAAATCTCACAAAATATAAATCCAAGAACCTGAGCAAGCAAACGTCCGTACAAATCGGATTCACGCACAGATGCGACGCAAATATCGTGGGAAGATTCGTTGCAACTTTACCAAGTGAATATTTTATTATCCCAGTATTGTAGGAAACATGAAATATTATTCCCCCTGGAAGCCTTTCAGGGATTACAAACTACGATTTTCTTGTACTAAACACAACGAAGTATTAAGAAATATGCAAAAATGTACTGCAATACTTCTATTATACTGAACACATCCCAAGAGTAAAGTCGAACTTGTAACTCATGTTTCCTGGAAAGAATGATGGATCTACTTATTTAGTTATATAATGGGAATGAAAGCATACATAGGTGAGGTTTGTTTTCCCCCAAAGGTATCTAATGTATTACATGTACATTCAATATATGTATAATACCAAGAGCTTAATCTTAACACGATTTACACCAAAATTTTGAAAATCTTACCATAGTTTTAACTCGTCGAGTACCGGTTTTGCAGACACAATTATAGAACAATAGGTTGCGATCACCGGTGACCGCTTGGTGTTTGACAGTTTAAACAAAGAACTAATATGAACCACGAAAGTAGAAAAATGATAGGCAAATAGAAATCGTACCTATGAACTTTCTGTTAATCCTGTATCTCTTTTGAATAGATAAATCATAGCTTTAGAACCAGTAAATTTAGAAACTCGACATGAGGTGGAATAGTATTTGAAAATTATAACAAGTATAAATAGTCGCTTTATTTTGGATTGTAAAGCTCGTCTCGTGATTTCTATCTAGACGATGCACGATGAATAGGGTTTGATAACATCGAAAGCAATTCATACAAACGGTTTCATGCCAGTCTCAAAGTCAGGAACTCATTGCTCAAAGTAGGATCATATCAAGTCGCGAAGGTATTCAGAATTATAGAAATGTACTTATTCTACACCATGACTATTGTGTTCGCAATGAGTATTCATCGCCATGGCAAACAGCCAGTCCTGTAGTGCCAGGATGACAAAACACGGACCTATAAAGTGGACAATAATAAAATAAATGTCCAATACTAAATATATCCACAGCAGTGCAATATTAGTCGTTAATAATACGCTTTACCTTAAATACATGAATGTACTATACATTCTTTGCCAAATAATGCCTTCAAAGAAGAAAAGTCCTATAAACATAAATATCAATCCAGGATAACTCTTTTAATAACTACGTTTAAAAACCAACTTCAGTCCTCTCTTTTTTGTAGTCGTTTTTAATGTACTAAAACCTTCTTCCAAGTTTAACAAATACTGTTCTGGAAACCGCATCAATAGCGGTCATCCAATCGTGAGATTATAGTACACAAACATAGGTACATACATACATACGTACATACATACCTACATACAGGATAAACTCGTCCTTTTATTTGAAATCGGTTAATAATAAACTTTAAAGTTCGTAACACTCCATGAAAGTAATTTATTATTGTTTCACGTGTATTTTATTGGAAATAATGTGGTCCATTTTGTCTCGTATGTGATCTAGTGATTTGAAACTAACCACAGGCAACATAATCAGGACTGTGCCAGCTACTCGATTATACCAAAGTCCACAGGAATTATCATAAATAAATTGGTGACAGACTGATTAAAATGTTGATTAGGTTGATAGCAGGTTCTGGGATAATAATGATTTTCATCAATTTTGACATAAATTAACAGTTACAAAATTGTACGCACTAATAGCTCCAATTCCCAGATTCCATCCCAAATATTAGTAAGTATAGGTAGAATATTTTCAATTTTAAATTAGTGTTCATAATTATTTCCTTGGACCAATTATTGTCTGAAATCAAAATTAATTAGTAATCAATTTAAATAGAACAAATCCTATAAGAGACATGTGTTAAACCTTACCATCTAAGATGCTTTATTCATATAAAGCTCATGTATTATGGCTATATTCTATGGTATTTTACTTTTGTCTATTTATAGTAGTAGATGATTAACGTTGTGAACTGGAGACAGAGTGACTTGACGCCGAATTTCTTAGAAGATAATGTTTTATTTTAGAATAGTTTACATGTGGATACGACATCTGTGAACTGAGTGTGAGTGATGTATCGCGCGTTGACGGAAGCGCGCCAAAACTGTAACGGACTTGAAACACAATTATAAAAACTAATTTAAATTTTACTTTCCATAGATTTTGTACGATTTTTATAATACAGTAGTATCTAAGACTATTGACAAAGACACCACTGACAAACGGGGAAGGAAAACATCGTGAGGAAACCTGGACTTATAATTTCTAATTATTAGTTTTAAATCGCCAACCAACAATGAGCAAGTGTGGTGATTAATACTCAAACCTTCTCCGTGTGAGAAGACGCTTTGCTGAACAGTGGACAGTTATGGGCTGTTGATGATAAGTATTTAACAAAACGATGGTATAAGATTATGTATATATTAGCAACATACTATTTATTTCTTCGTTAAACATCAATGGTAGATAAGCTTACAGGTGAATAAATTACATCCAGCAGCAATGATTCTATTTTGAAGTTTTCAGTAGATTACCAAATAATATTAGGGTGGTGGTTTGAGATGGATAACAACCCACGTTTTGCTTACTATTTAATATAACAGATGGAATATATTTAAGACTAACTAATGCCCACGACTTCGTCCTCGTAGAATATGAATTATAAAACATAACTTTCTGTTGTTTCATCATCATTATCATATCAGCCACAAGACGTCTACTGCTGAACATAGGGCTCCCCCAATGACTTACAAATAGTGGTTGTTGTTTCAATTTTCCAAAATAAAAGTAGACTATGTAGAAAACCCTATTCAATCTACCACTTACATACCTACTTCTTGAAATCGTAAATGAAACAGCATAATTAATTATGTTTTCGGCTTACTCACGTAATAATTTGACGAGGAACTCGACTAGTTTCAAGCCATGCCTTGCATTTCGCGACACGCGACGCGGCGACTGTCGCGCTGCTACTGGCTACTCGAGTCTGCGGGCCCAGCGCGCCCTCTGCCGTAATTCGCGAAATGCTGCTCATGAATATGAGCCTCTAGCATGGCTTGAAACTAGTCGAGTTCCTCGTCAAATTATTACGTGAGTAAGCCGAAAACATTTTTTTGCCTTGCCACGACCTATTGGACTAATAATGATCGCGATCGACTACTGCTATAAATCAACTAACCCTATCTTCCATATTAATTTAAGGTTGTCTGTCTAGTTTTATAAATACAAAATACCTACTCTTGAAACTAAATACATACTTAGTACAGCTGATGTACCTGCCAATAAAAGTCTTGCGAAATCAGTCCAGGTGTTCTAGAAATTATTGGGTATAAACAAACAGCCAGACGTCAAAATTAAAAAAAATAAATAAATATTACAAACAGACACTCCAATTTTATTCAAATATAAAAATTTCACAGACGCTTGTGTAATCCACTCCTACGCTGCGAGACAAACCCTTAAACGTTTTAAATACAAAAGAATTTTATCTATTAGAGTGCAACACTCCGGGCACGCGTTTACACGTTTCTAGAAGCACCCTGTACCTAAGTCCTGTTTTCTGGTTAATCATTAGTTTGCTACAACATTAAGGAATTAAATACACTGTCCGGGCTATTTGTTCTGGAAGCATTATATCGGACTTAGGCATTTAGCAAAAGCATCTGTATATCTGTGGATCGTCGCGGAGAACCTAACGGGTAACCGGGGCTCCGGCTCGACGTGCAAGAGAAGGAACGGGGTGGTTTGTAGTCAGTAAGAGTCTGACACTCCCTTCCGTCTCACCCAGGCGGGAGCAGTCATTCGATGATTTTCTACCCTTAAAAAAAAAATATCTGGGGATCGACGGTCAAAAGAACATCGTAAGTCAGCACAGACATACCAAAAATGAAATTCTCAATTTTCATCGCGTAAATTGTTTGGCCAGCGTCCATTTATTTGTTTCTGTGAGGTAATATTTTGTACACGGTTTTAATTTTTCCCTAGTACCACCTGACCAGTAGGCAGTAGTAATATGACGAAAAAACATACGATTCTGTGTCTGTGTAAAATAACTGTTACCACAGTTTCGACTTTATTACCTATCGGGAATGTTTTGGAATTATTTTTAAATATCAATGTGGACTGGAACTGCTAATATCTATTGTGCTAGGTACAAACGGATTTACATGTTAAAAGTACAGTACGAATCTAAGTAGATACATTTTAAAAAATATATAAAATGATGTATTTTAGTTAATTAAAAATTTAAATTAAACCTTTTTAATATACGTTTTTATGCAGCTTAGCGTTTATGGTGATATACTTGTATATAATTATTATATGTATATCATCTCAATCGGTTGAAAATAATATATTATATGCTTTGTTAATCGACTTCAATAAAAGATGGAGGTTCTCAATTTGGCTTGTATGTTTGTGTGTTTATATATCTCTGCGCGATAATGTCGCAATTGGCTGAACCGATTTTGATGGGGTCTTCAGAAAATGGTTTGCTACACTCAGCAGGAGGTAGGTATGAACTTAATTTACCGACTTTCAAAGAAGACGGGCTTGAAGGAGGTTTTTAATAGAAGTTTACAAAAGAATTATTTTCCTGCAAGATTTCACACTACACACACTCGCATACTTACATACATACATAGATACATGCAGAGAATAATTATAAGAACACGGCTTACTCACGTAAACAATTCGAGATACTCTACTTGTTTCAAGACATACCGGGACCCTTACTCATGAACAACAGCGGCAGATATTATAATACTTCAGTAAAACCAATACAATAATCATAAAAATTTATTTCCAATTCAAAATCAAAATACAACAACTGAATATATAATACACCTATATTTTGTTTATGTTCTTTTCGAAATATACATACAATATACATAGATTCTATATAATTTTATATCTTACACTACTGTATAAGCTTTTTTAAGAATGAAGCGCCACTGCATCTACTTTTCCACTACTTGTGCAATCGAGTTATGTCATTAAGTAAGTAGCTAAGAAAAATCTACTTATAACTAGAAAGGACTATTATAAAAGACTATTGGCATGACGACGAGCCTAGAAAAGTCAATTTTATTCAAGTTCTTCAAACACTTCCAATAATCAATCTCATAATTAAAATTGACTCCATAAAAGTCAATGCACACCTTACAAGCACGGCTCCGGCATAACTCCAATCAAAAAATGTCAATTTCATTTAAATATCAACTTTAAATCATATGTCGTATGAGTTATCTCATAACGACAATACAAATAAGCTGTAAGCGCGCCGCCCATGCAACATCTTTGTGTTGTTTCCAAAACAAAAAACGTCGTGCGGTGCATGAGCCGTGCCGGAGCCATGCCGGAGCCATGCCGGAGCCATGCTGGAACCGTGCGCGTTAGGTATGCGATCACCTTAACTCTAAAAACAATGTGACATTATGACTAAATTCATAAAAAATTTAAGTATTGAAAACATTCTACAGACAGCTAAAATTAGTCATAACTTAGTGCAGACCCTTAATCTAGGACTGATATTAATATCATTATAAATATCGCTACTCAACTTACATATCTACTTAAACAATTCTAATTGATTGGACGGAATTCCTGAAGGCTCCATATATATACAAATACATTCTTAGGACTAAAATACTATCTTAATTGTAATTGTATCTTATAAATTAATTGTAAGTATTCAATTTTGCGTAAAAACATGGTTTAAACTAAGTAAACAAATACATTACATTTCAGGTAATTACACTTAAGTATATTTGTATATTCTGTTATAACTCGATATGCTGTCAAAATGTGATATTAAAATTACAAACTAATAATACGATGGAATGAAAACTGTTTATGTTTACTGGCTTGCTTCTATTACCTAGTGTTTGACTATGAATATGAACCCTTAGAGCAGCTTGAAATTAGTCGAGTTCCTCGTCAAACATTTTCGTTAGTAAGTCGGTAAACATAAAACTTAATTTAGTAAGTCTGACAAAAGCAATGATATGAAAAACTTTATTTGCTAATTGTTTATAAAACATAATACCTACTTCAAGTTTCCTCTTCAAAAGTTGAGTACACTTAAAAATGCGAAACACAAAGAAATTTTCTTTTTGTAAAATATATTCATCGACGTAATATCTTGGTTAATTGGTTAATATTGTTACTCATGATGTTCCACGCTCTAGAGGGAGTACTTTATAACCAGAGCATAGAGGGTACTTGCCGTACTTGTCTGTTAAAAACATGCAGATATTTTGCGAGAGAGCCACTTGACACTTAAGTATGGATTATTTTTGTAACTGTTTTTCTAAGTACGCTAATTGATGTCAGATTTGCGCCCTAATTGGCAGTAGGATGTTATAAGAATGCGGGCGAATGCTTGGCTTTATGTTTGGCACTTTTATAGTAAACTTCATTCACGAAATTAATAATCTTGTTCAATCCATCAGAGATGATCTTAAGTAATTTTCTCTATGTGTATTGTCAATTTTGTTCCCAAAAAGTATTTAAGTTTAAATTTAATTTTCCAAAGCAATTTACATAAATCTGATACGAATTGGCTTCATGACGTTAAAATAAATTCAAACACGACTGATTGGATAAGCCTGTCTCATAGTAATAATACCAAATTGCAATTTCGAGAATCTGAAGGATAAAAAAGATGTCGTATTTACGAGTCTTATTGCTTATGGGCACTAGATAAACAAAACAAGAGGATTATGACTATTAATTTCGAAGAATAAATGTCAACTTTGTATAAGTTTACATCAAAAATGTTCCATAATAAGTAACTATAATTATTTGTCTTCTACATACAACCGTCACGGGAATATTTGAACTTAGATCGATCTTAGATTATTTAAGTGCAATAATGCCGCAGGAGTTATCGAAATCTTCAGTAGTACTCCGACTAATTTCACTTACATAGATTCTAAAACTCCTTATACATAGTTAAAACTATAATTTCTACGTCTGTGATTCAAAGTATATTGTGATGTATCAGCAAATACCTTAATATCTATATAATATTCGATCCGAAATACTAGCTCGCTACGATGTACAAAATATATCTAAATAAATTGTGCAATAAACCTTAACCTAGTGGAATGTAAAGTATGGACGGCTTACATTTTTAAGGTCTTAAAAACATAAATAGAACTTTAACTACATTAACAGTTATACCCTTATTTTACCTCTTCAAAAAGATGTCTTAAATACTTAAATGTGAATGATGCAATGTTATAAATAAATAATTAAGCACTAAAAAGTATTAGTGTCCACATTTTAGAGATTTTGTTTAATAGAGATTCGAGAAAATAGAGAATAGAGATTCACCGTAAGTATCGGCTGAGAGCATTTCCCTTTAAGTAAAGTACACTAATAGGGATGTAAGTAGGTAGTCTGTATGTCTGAACTAATGTTTAAGCCAGTAAGGAGCTTACGTTGTAGAAGATTAGAGTGCAACACTCCGGCCACGCGTTTACACGTTTCTAGAAGCACCCTGTACCTAAGTCCTGTTTTCTGGTTAATCATTAGTTTGCTACAACATTAAGGAATTAAATACACTGTCCGGGCTATTTGTTCTGGAAGCAATATATCGGACTTAGGTACAGCAAAAGCATCTGTAATGGTCATACATGTATGATAATAGACGAAGATGCAATTGTAAAAGTTATGGAACATTTTTAGGGACATGTTTATTTAATATTTAGAATAGCTGTCATATTCACAGAGTAATTAAATTCGGTATATCGAGTGACTAACTAGTAAACCCAATTACGCAAGTACACGAATATAATTTATTTACTATTAAAAATTTATCTTTTAGAAATGTCCATTACAGATGCTACAGTTGTGTACATACAAACGTAATTGATCATAAAAGATTATGTACTAATCTGCGTTAAAAGAGAGATTAGTATACTTTGTTGTTATTTTTACAAAAGTTTAAGGTCTGTTCAAGTCACAATTGTACATACAATTACTAGAGACGTGTAAATGACCTAAAGCTGTTTCATTGTCTAAAATCCCGCAGGTAATTCCTTCCTTAATGAGGCTAACCGCCGTGTTTACACTGGTTTGAAAACATTTTCCCCAGTAATGCAATGCTATCTTCACTAAATTTCACTGTAAAATATTCAACATCTCAAATTAGAACCTAAATCTATAACTATAAAGCACCTAATTACTTAACCTGTCTAAACAATAGTCCTACATTTTAATGTCGTTTGATATATGAGTTAGTCATTGATATTACTTATTAACATCTTATATCAATATGTAATGTTTTGTAGCAGACAAACAACAGTAATTGATTTTATTGACCTTATTATTATTTTCATAATAGCTGTTCGTAAGTACCCACTTCGACATTTCAAGTTATCATTAATGCTACTTCAGATTCATGAAGATTTCTGGCAACGTTACTTTTATGATTATTACATAATGAGCGTTTGTAAGAAAATAATATGAAAATTTGCGAGAACAATCGTCTAAAAGAAGCGTTTATTTTATTGCGTGGTCTTAACTGTCTAGGTCTTAATCCAATAGAAAATTAAACCCTTAATTTAAAAGCGGCGTATTTAGCATACTACGTCTGTTCGAGTACAGTGTGGGAAGACGATGGATCAGGAGCCCACATTCAGGTCGCTCCGGAGTGCAGAAAAGTGCAACCATTAAACAAAACTCCAAAACTCCCACGTCCCTTCACTATTCTCTTCAACCAAAATGCATCAATAAACTGTGCCCCGTGATAAAATATAAATTATACTATTAACCGTAAATTATCTATTTATTTAAATTATTACTTATTAAGAATCTACCAAGCTATTTATAAGCTCTACTGACACATCATCTACCGATATATATGTAATACACAATTTTGATCTAAATCACCGATGAGTTTAATTACATACCTATGATAAATATTGATTTATTACATGGACTAAATATATACCCGATTGCTTTTAAATCGTAAAACGGCACAAGGAAAGTATGTACAGAAACATGATAGTGACCAACTTATTTATTTTAGGTATAAGGTATTATGAGACAAACTATAGACGGGAAGACGATGGATTAGGAGGCCGTCATTCGGTCTACTCCAACAGTGCGATATTGTGCTATCATAAAACAAAAATTCACTACTCTTCCTCAACTCAGAAAATCAAATAACGGTGAACCAGTGAAAATGGCTTCGAGGCCATATTAAACGAACCTTAATTAATTAATAACTGTTCAAATCTTATTATAAGTTAAACTAACAATTTATGCAGCGATTCAAGGCTGAATTACACCAGAACTAAGGTCGGAAGACGAGAGATTAAGGTAATTACGACTTAAAAAAATGTTCTATACTGCCAATATATGCAAAGCGAATATTCGTAAATTATTGAACTTACTAAACACAACTACTGGGGTGGGAAGACGATGGATCAGGAGCCCAACTGGGGTCGCTCCGAACTGTGCAAGTATATATGTGCACTGATCAAAACTAAATCACCTTCATGTACTTCAACATAATATTACCTTAATTGTGCTCATGATTATGATACCAATACTGATGTATCAGTGAAACTTAAGCTACTCAGATGTTGCATACTTCATTAATTTTTATTTTACTAGATATTAAAGCAAAATTAAATCAAGTCCTACAAATGTCTTTTGTGTCCGACGGACACTGATACATGGTCAAAATATTATAACAAACCAATAATGTTTTAAATATGATTTCGATTGATGTAAGAATATACCAATTGTTCCAAAAAAGTATGAGAAATAAATACTGATCTTTACATAATTCAAATAACGGAACCAAGAGAAAATCTCCTTAAATTACTCATCAATTACTAATTAGATAATGTAAGTTATAAGAATTACTGATAATGTACTAATAAGAAATAATTATGTCATTTAAAAGCAATCGTATTACACGACCTAAGAAAAAACTACTTATTTCTTATGAATTTAAATATACATAATTTAAATTTTAGGATTAAACTTAAGATGTCGGAAGACGGTGGATAAGCAGGCCACACATCTGTGGGTCCTGCCTGTGTCAGATTGTGAACTAATTAACAAAACCCATTAATCTATAGAACGTAATTAAAGAGAATCATTAATATTTTCAACCGATGTGTTCTCGTAAAAACCATATTTATTCAACTACAGTGAAGTATCAAAGAAACTTAGGGCCGATTTCCAACGCCAGATAAATTTTAACTGTGAAATAACTTTCAACATTTCTCAATTCTTCCATAGTAAAAACTGTCAAATGTCAATTTTATTCTACAGTTTCAATTTAACTGATGATTGAAATATTGGCTCTATATGTATACTTATAATATTTCCAGAAGGGGGACTAACACGTCTAACAATTGATTTTCGAGATTTCAATCCAAAATTTAGTATCTCTTTCTAGCACACAGATTTAGCTATACGCAAGATAAAGAGGGGACCAAAATAATAACCTATTTACCTGGGGTCTTGGATATAATAAATACAGAGGCGATAGAGCTACGCTTTGGGAATAGACAAATTGATAGAAATATGACTGATGACTGTTATAAATCAAATATAATAGCATACTTACTTTAAAAGATAAAATGAGTTTTTATTCCAAATCCCTTAGTAGAGAGATTACATTTTTTAATAATAAATAAGGAATACCTTATGTACCAAAAATTTTAGACGCGGATAAATCTAAGTGTGTTTTCAGTCGCAGTAAGTAATTCAGACGCCAATTAAATTTGTATTTAATTGAAAATGCTTAAGTTGATTCGAAATGTTAAACATAATAATGTCCAATTTACAATAGTTACTAGTCACAATTGATTCAATGAATGTAAGAAATTATTCATAAAATTGTGTTAAGTCAACCCCCTCCTGGATTAATATAACTTATACCAAATCGTGACGACGTGCCTATCTTACTTACCTTACCTATTCCACTACTTAAAACTAACTTAACTAGTGCAAAACAGTGACTTATGACTAACACTACCTTACATAACCTTAGAGGACTAATTTAACTATAACCAATAAAGTTGCTATGACACTTCACTGAAGTATAGAAATTTGAGTCATTTAAATTAACAAGTAATTATAAGTAACCAGATATCTTCATGGAAAAGAAGAAGCAAAAACATGGAAAGCAACATGGAAAAGAAGAAGTATAAATAGATGATAAATACCTAATATTATGTATAATACCTACAAATATATTGTGATCTTCAAAATCTATAAAATATCGACTGGTAATTATGTTATTAATTAGTAGTTGAAATCGCTTGACTGAACTATTAACTTTAGACCCCCAAAATACAGAATCTATTGTAATTTATGAATTCGTCAAATGCACGCCAATTTTAATTTTATCGTCATGGTATTTATCATTTTAATCGCTTGTATGAGAAGTGTTCCAGTCACTGGACGTTCTAGTTGGTATCTTAGTAGTGTTCTTACACAACAAAGTATGTCGCGGCGCATCACAAGAAGTAATGTTTACTTCACTCAGTTAGATTAACACGGAATGCAACGCAAATATTCTCACAGTACAAGAATACACATTACTGTTATTAGAAAATACAAAGATCGTGCGAGACATTCTCTTTGCATACACGACAAAATCTAACTGGTAAATAAGTAATTCGTTTAGTTATAGTTGTTGTAATAAATGCGCATAGCCTATACAGTATACAGTACTCGCGACATGTCTCCATTCGTAAATACAGATAATATTTATTGTTGTAGTTGGTAACAAGTTGGTCGTGCTAGGGAGTTTGTGAAACATACACTGAACTACTTACATTGATTGGAACAGCACCCACAAAAGGACAACCCGAGACGCTCTCAAAGTTTTCATCTGAAGGACAGTTGGTTAAGTACTTATCTTGTCCTCTACACTTATATACCATTCATTCCTTAATACACGTGTTAACAAGGGTCACTTTTACTGCTGGGCTATGGATACTTATTCATAGAACTACAAGAAATGATTGATTATTACGACATTAAAATTTGAATCTATCTGCCATACGTAGGCCTGCTAAACTATGTTGGAAAGGCACTGCAGGGAATGCTTTAGAACAAAACTTAAAAATAGGTATTGAATTAACTTCTAAATTTTAACGAAAACTTAAACAATGACCTGATATTTTAACTGTCGCTTACTTGCAACACCCTAACAGAATGCGCGTGACCTTATATTAATAAACTACAAATTATGATATAATACTTAATAGTATATAAGAAATTCGTAATCTCTTCCACAATTAAACATACGTGTATCTTTTGGTGAGCTTATATGCGTTAATAAAATACATCAAAGACGAACAATCAAAGCAGTAAATACATAAATACACTTCACAATAACAACAATGTTATATTATCGAGATTCAAGTAATTACAGGTTCTAGACTCTAATGGATTAACGAAGGAGTTTAACTGTGAATGTTCACGCGTTATCAGACATTATTGTGTTAATACACAGATCAAACAGCGAATTGTTCAAGATAATTTAGTTGGAGGTATTTCAGTAGCACTCAAGGACGATGGAGGGATAACACTGGTGTAAGTGAGTGTAGTTAGTTGTGAGCTCAGCCATCGCGTCGTGTTCCGAGAGTACACTCGAGGCCGGCTTACAGTTGCCAAGCTGTTGTTGACGACTACACAATCTCAGCTACTCTTTCAATCATAAAACGAAACATCTCGACAATACCAACATGCGTTGTTATTACAAAGTTAGTTTACATTCTAAACAAGTGCGATCCGACACCAACAGTCAATAACATACACATTTAACATTACCCATAAATAAAAAACTACCTCAGCCATGCTGGACATTTATTTAACCCGAGTCGAACTCGAAAATATACAACATAACTATAACTATATAAGCATTAGGTAAACTAACTACCTCTATATACGTGCAATATAATTATACGTATCAATATTGTAAATGGGAGCCGCCAGACCATGCATAATAGTTGTTTCCACACATTCTATTATTTAGGTTTAATTTGATAGAAAATAGAATCGATAATATTACAAATTCACCTAATGAATGAAATGAATCCGAGCGAAGCCATAAATATACACACGTAATGTTGGAATCAGACACAATACCTCCCAATAACAATGCCACTATTAAACATTACAGTCCGTAGTAAATGCCACCTTCCAATATCCATTCATTTGTTGAAAGCGCCGTTCAGTATTAATTAGGCTATAGGCTCATCAAAATGTTTTGCTTTGCAACGAACTCCATTATTCGTTATGAAAATTATATTGACATTTCCGTTCGCTCAGTGTTCTGCTGCGAACATTCATCAATCGAGTCTGGCGGTATCCTGGCTTAATACAAGCATTTATACTCAAACGCTATACTATACATACAATATATATACATTATACGTCTTTAAAAATTATTGCCGACAGAATACACGTTTGTTATAGTCGTAATTAATTAATTATACAATAATTTACGGGTACCCATGTGACGACTATCAATTTTCTTTGTTTGTTTTGTGTGACAGCAATACGTAACCAGCGTGTGTTTGCCAAAAATAAAAGACGAACGATGTAAAAGAATCTCGTTATTACTCATTAGAAAGTGATTTTTCAAGAGCGTTAGAGACACACTATTGTATTTTTAAATTATTGTTCTAAATGAAATTTAAATTCTGTGTTACCAGTTTCACCTATTATTTTTCAAAACGTACGAATTCAACATGAGCAATTTAGTTATGTGTAAATTAAAAATGATGTAACGTTACACGGATACCAAATTTTTAATCTGTGATGTTTTTAAATTATTTTTTATTTTTATAGTTTTAAATTACCTATATAAATCTCTCCACATTCCCTTGATTTTAGCTGCACCAATAGGGCATTTTTAATATTCGATTTATCATTCATTCCTACTTTATTGTTGGTGTTACGTCTTACAGTTACCTTAAAATTAATTGATCCTCACGTGGGTATAAAACAAATCTACATTGTAATAAAACCTTACCTCATATCATAAATATCTAAACAAAGCTGAATATGCTTGCCTATATTTATAAAATTTGATTACAAATCGTTAACAAAAATGCTTCATATAAATTCGATGCATCGAACAGGTTTCTCTTCAAACTACATCATTTCGAAGAATAAATAGATCAAAACTTACTCTAACGTTATTTAATCTGATTCTCAGTGAAATTACTTCTGATAAATGTGCATTTTATTTTTATCTTATATTAAATAAATACTCCATAATATTACAATATATTCCCGCTACGGTCGTCTGTAGAAAATATTTCCTACTAAAAATACTGCAGAAGAATCTAATAAAAAGTTAAACAGGGCTCTACGTTGCTCAATAGAATTAGTGCTAAGGACTATGACAGCATTACAACAAGATAAATTCAATACAATCCTACGGTAAAAAGTAGTTTTATTTAATTTAAATCTGAAGAGTCTTTTAAAAGTATGAAACTTTTGTTGGCCTATCATTCTGACGTGGCAGTACTGAGCTTGCGGTGTATGAACCTGATGGTGGCACTGCCAAAGCTGACAGCCGTTCCTCAGAACTTGTGGCTGGTCGCGGGTTGCTCCGGCGGTGTCACATTCATCCCCATATTATCGTACGAGAAATCTAATGTCGTGTCTTCGGCTGGATGTCGGTTGCTAAGTGCAGTACTGATCGTCTTCGGCGTAGTCGCTCCCTGACTCTTCTCTGTCTGTGAAGTCCTCGTCTCCAAGTCTCTCACATTCAGAGGCTGCTGCGGTCGTTTCGCTGGATCGGGATTCCGTATCTCCAGTTTGAGTTCGTGCTTAGGTTTCGGCATCTCCGCATGTGGGTTGTGATGTGTCAGGTCGTTTGGGTACTGCTTCACTCGGTTCTGGAAGTTGATGTCAGGAGTTTCAAAATCAAGGAGTCATACCTAAGTAAGTAAGACCTGTTTTTTTACCCACGAATAACTTTAAAAAGGTTATGAATACTACGTGAAAGTACGTGTATCAAAACTTCTTTACCTTGGCCGGCTGAAATTTCTGCTTGATGTATCGCCAAGAGAACTTGCCCCTGCAGACGATGATGAGCACGAGCACCAAGATTGCGAGTGCCACGGCGCTGATGATCAGAGCAGTCTGCGCTTGGCGCTGCACACCTTCGAAATCATAACCTTTGTCAACCACCTTTCACCAATATTCTACAATATTAAAATAATTCTAATGGATCATAAATATTTGGGTCTTTAGTATAAATACAATTGCATCAGCATTTTACTTGAAAAAGCCTTCGCAATACGTATCATGTATTCAGGAACTCCTGTTTAGCATTAGCACTAGCACTGGACAGGTTACTGCAGAGAAAGTTCTAACGAATAGTGCTTTCACTACTTAGTAAATATTACGTGTAAAGTGATTTGCCAGTAACGATTCTGTCTCCAATCGATAACGTTTCTTCGCTGATAGAAATATGGAAGCAATTTTATTTTGGACTTTATACATTGTAAGATACAAAATGGCGTGTGTATGCCTGCAAAGCTGAACTTGTGGTAACTACACTTAACATTGTCAATGAAGAATTATTAAGGTACATAGAGGACACTAAGGGGACTTAGGAACGTTGCTAGTTGGTCCAGGCATTAGATGGCTGCCTGGACTGAACATATAATTCATTGGAAAAGTTTACAACTTCAGTATCCAGCTGTATTTAGTAATACATGTGAGAGTCCGGCTGTAGTAAATTGTATTTACTGCTGTATGTAACTTACATCGACCTCATTCGATGTAATATGTAGCGCAAGGCTTTAGCCACAATTCTAAATAAGGCAGTATTAGTTTTGTTCGCAGTGGCAATCATATCGTAGTAAGATTGTGAGATTCGCATCAAGCAACCAATCAGTTACTAAAATATAACATTTATTTTATATTTCTTCAATTAAAATACAGACTCTCAGTAAACAAACTGTAATATAGATACACAAATCCAAAATAACTAACTAAGCTGGATTTTTACAAAGTTTTATTAAACTGGAAGCGATAGTCTGAGCACAGCTATTGTTAACTTTTCAAGGCAGTGCAGACATGCACATTAAGAAATATCGAATCAAAGAATCAATAACACTCGTAGAAAAGTTGAAGTGAAGCGAGATCGTAAGTTTATTCAACATTCGCAGTAAACATGTCTCCCGTCCAATTAAAGTCTAAAACTTGGATATTCGCTGTGCAATCTGCAAACTTGCATAAACTTATAATAACAGATTCACAACACTAGACAACGGTATAGCTAATAGTAAAATTGTTTTTACTACTATTTATATAGCGGATTTGTTCGAGCTCAACAAAGTCTCGGCTTATTCAATATTAACCCGACGAAGCGCTCAATTGGACAGCCAAAGGACACTCTCATATAAAACTCAGAAACCAATTTATATCTTTTTTAAAAGAAATATAAAGTTTCGATGTTCTGAGATATAAACGTTTATTTTTAATATCACTGAGACAAAATATCATTACTTATTTGATTGTTACCGAGACTATGATATTTTTACTGGCTCTACATTTTATATTCTCGCGAGAAAATTAAATTAAGTAAGTACATGACGGAGAAAAAAATAACTTAATCAATGTTTGTTTCAAATGTAGTTTGTTCTTTATAAAGATGTCTATTATGTCATCCTGATCCACAAAAATAACATGTAAATAAGGTGATGTAAAACAATTTTATTATCACCCCAAAATATTCATATTATTATACCTAATATTTTGTGCTTGTGTTTTGAAGTTTACTTACTAGATGTGATAACGTAGGTACAAATAACAAGCTAAACAATTAAAGGTAATCTTTTAGTCATTAAGTAGTGTTGAACTCATTAACGCTAGCAAACAGACGTTTAGAACCTCGCTTCACACTTTAAGCTTCGTCGAACATTCACGTAGTATTGTCTTTTTATTTATAAAATTGTTATTATTTTGTTACGGTTCAAGTTTCTTGTTTCTTATCGTTATTTTTCTTATTTTATTACATACTGTGTCTTGTGTCTTAATTACTTTTCCTGTCTTGAGTCTACAGGAAGATATTCTAACAGGAATAAGTAACACCTACGTACTTGAAATATAACAATATGTTGTCCTCTGTGCTGTTGGTTTGCACATACATTTATTATTAAATTAATTTGGAATTCTTTTAAACTTATTTATATACTTGATACTTACCTACGATAGACCAACTTATTCCATACATACATAACTTCACGCCTGTCTCCCTACCATACCTACCATGTCTCCATAGTCTCTGCCTACCAACTTATTATTCCATAGTAAATACATTACTATACTTAAACAACTGATGCAACACGATGAAGGAACTATTACAGTCTTTAGGCAATAAACCGATTACGTTCTAAAAATCAAATCAATGGCCGTCGTTCAACATTAAAATTAAAATTATTCATCTTGTCTTAAATTTCTTATTTTGAAGTCTACATATTTCTAAAGACTCATAAATACATTTACCATATTAACTACAAAACAGTCGCAAGAGCATACATGCAAGCAAAGTAAGTACAAAAATAGTTCACCTTAGTTTTCTAAGTATACGTTGAAAAATATAAAATAGGATATTTACCGCTCAGATCCCCGGGAGGATGTGTTTCCTCCGACCTTCGCATGTACCTCAGGTCGAGGAGATATCCTGTAAATAAAGAAACAAGTTAATAAATAAATGATTTAAAAACATATGTATGAAGTAAAATGTATTTTTCACTAGCCGTAGACTTCCCGCGACAGGAATGACAGAACATGAAATAGATGTCTCTATTAAAAACTTGAACCTTTGAAACTACGATCGACTCATTTGCTAACGTAGGAGATTATTATAACAAACCCCTAATAATTATATATGTGGTATACGGCTCAGCACTGGACTGTAATGAACTGATCATGCTGTATAGGTTAATGCGTGTGTGTATTTTTTTTTTTCACCATTAGGATACTTTTTGTTAATTGGTTTTCTACAAATATTCCTGACTAAAAGATGGGGATCAATTTGAGCAAATCTTTCAAATACTACGCAAACGGCCAACTACAAAAAATAGACATCCATACTGGCAAAGTAACAAAAAATAATAATACAGTATTACATAAGACACTCACATACTCAATCATGTAACAAAACCACAATTACAAAAAATATTGGCTCAAACACTAATGCGATAGAGGTGCGGAATGACGCTGTACAAAATTCTTTATTGTTTTAAAATATATGAGCATTAATTTTTAGTCATCGACGGTTATTGTGTGGTATTTTTCAGAACACTTTTTGCGACTGACACACGTATAATTATATATATTTCCCGCCTGTCCATCCGTCTGTAACGGGTACGTAAAATCAAAATTGTCATTTTCCTTTAGTACTAGTGGAAACTTCTTGAGAAATCACTACATAGTATAAAACAAAGTCGCTATCCACCGTCTGTCTGTCCGAATATGCTTAGGTCTTTAAAACTACACAACAGATTTTGATGAGGTTTTTTTAATAGATAGGGTGATTTTTTAGGACGATTTATATGTATAATACATGCATATTTCACCCGTGTGACGCCGGGGCGCGTCGTTAGTGTTAAATATGGGTCTAATCCAGAATATTTCCTTGACAACGGAATGAGTTCATTCCGTTTATGCAATACTTAAAAAAATCGATCATTGTTCACGGTTTTTGATTTCTGTGCATGGGATATGGCTCGCTGTAGTTTCTTGTGACTAATGTTGCACGGTTAGATAGCCACTGACTCTAATACTAAAAAACCCTAAGTAAACTCTAGCCAACCACAGAACTAAGCCTACACTATGCTGCTACACACAAGATATTTGCCATAGTTGATCTGATTCCGACCACAACTTGCACAAGGTCTCTTTGCCGGAACGCTTTAGAATCCCTTTTAGTGCATCTAAAGTGAGTTGTTTCGAGTACAGGGAACCTTTGAACAGTATAACATTACATGACTGCCCATTTCCAGGCATTCCCTCTGATGTTCTGTGCCAAAGGAGCATTTCGACAAAGACAAAGACCGTTGCCTAAACGGTGTTCCAGCCTAGACTGATTTTAATGAGATTTCATCAACGTAATACGTGTCTAAAGAAATAACTTTTGTAAAACTCTGAATGGTTTCACAATATAGAAAGCCACTAACGATACGGTACAGTTTCTTTGCTACGAGATAAGAAAAAATTAGGAGCAAGTATTATGTTGACACAGGCGAGGTCGGGAAAAAATGTCCCGAGCAAACAATTAGCAGGTCGAGCTGCGCCGACAGGTGCTTGCCCGGGCCACACACACACACACATCGCCGTGCACATACACTCCAACAACGCAGTTCACAAAACTATCAACTATTAAACGCTTAGCGAATACATTGTTTCGTAACTTCGAACTCTGACTACGAATGAAAACAAAGGTAAACTCTGTAGTCTGAACCGAATATTACAGAAATATGTCGTCAAACGAAATATTTGAAACTGTATTATTTTAAGGATAGATATATGAGCAACACTCAACACCTATGATAAACTAAAAGAGCGTAGCTGGATGGTGTTTTGGTCGTAACAAAGTTGTAGCGTAGTTCAAATTGTTTAGTGACGAACTCAATGAAACTCGCATTTAATTGCATCGCTACATATGCGACAAACAGATTACACTTGTACCATTTATAAACAAGGAGCCACCTGTATCGTGCACACACGGGCGAACTGCGCTCACACACACTGGCTGCCGTGCGCGTGTGTGCGAGAGCCGTACCTGTCAGAATCAACGGAGCATGACTTTTATGGGTATTGTTACACCCCTTACCAATGATCCTCCAACTGCATTCTATTCAGGTCGTTAAGAGTCGTGATGTGCGGAAAATAACGATCCGCTCGCCGAGGTTCGGATAACTTGGTACTGGCGTGCACCTGATACTTTTAAATTGTACAGATGATATAAGCGAAGCGAGAAGCGTCCGCCAGTTGCGTCTAGTGATACAACTTGTTACATAGCTTTACTGAATGTATTGACATCTTTTTAACTTGACATTGTAACCATTCAGAATTCAAAAAAGTAATTTTTCAACTATTGACAAGCTTTATGAAATGGATTTTAATATTTCTCTCCGACAAAATCAGCAGCAGAATACACATTGGGAGTTTACAAATTTCAAAACAAGGTATACCTACAAACTAAGTGCCCCAAAATGAACAGCAGGCAAGCCGGCATAGTTTAATACGATTTCCAGGTTCTGTAGTATGGACTGAACTAATGTACCAGTACGTATTATTAATGCTGTGTTACGTGCGTGAAAGCAACAACTAAGTAAATAAGAGGCTTAAGTAGAGTTTACGGGGAAAATTGGTGCTGTACTAGTTCAATCATATTATTCTAGTCTGCTTTGAAAGCACTGAGTACCTAGTAAAATAGTGCTTATTTCATTAAAAGCCAATAATCAATAGTGTTCTCGTTTATAAAATGTAAGTTCATTAACGGATAATACTATATATAACTATCATTAATGTATATATACACACAGTATATGTATGGTATATATAACAGAACTAGCTACTTCCACGTGGTTTCACTCGCTCTGATCGGCGCCTATTAATTCGTAATAATTAATCGTAGCGTGATATTTTATAGCCTATAGCCTTCCTCGATAAATGGCTATCCAACGCAGAAAGAATTTTTCAAATCGGACCAGTAGTTTCGGAGATTAGCGCGTTCAAACAAACAAACAAAAAAACAAACTCTTCAGCTTTATAATATTAAAAAATATAGATAATGCCTGGTTAATATCCACTCAGGAATGCAGAGATTAATTAATAAAATCATTCGTAATTGAATTCACTCTTTAAAAATGAATAAATAATGAATGCTCGCGTTCATTTCATTAATTGGTAGTTAGTCTAGATTCCTATTGCAATATTTTTCTAAGAATTATTATTCTGTACCTGTTGATCACGGACTCGAATCAAAAACGAATATTTATTTACTCTGATACTACGATAAAATAAATGTAAGCTAAGAATCGAAGCTAGTTAATTAATTATTAAGATAAATAAATGTATTTTGATAATAAAATCAGGGAGTCGTTTTTAGTAATTCGAATATTAGTTGTATGAAATATTTTATATCATCGTGACTGCAATTTAGAACATGTTTGTAATATTTTGGTCTAGGAATGACTCATCTAATTTCTTACGCGTATTTAGTGAAAAAAAATACCTATTTTCCATGTTAAGTCAAATCGCAAAGTCGTATGTTATTATGACTATTTTATTCACATGGCCGGAGCAGTGATGCGCTAAGAAAATGCGCAATATGCGAGACTAGTGCTGCCGCCATACCTATGCAGGTATAGTCGTTTTAACCTGTACCGACATTACAATCTCATTTTCATAACAGCGTCATTTACATTGCTAATGAGCAAAAGTACCAACTTAATGAAAAGAACAACTCAATCTCTAAATATGTATTTTCAAACACAATATTTACGGAGCGACTGTCATTTCATGACAAATTCATTATCAGATTCCATGTAGTGTGATACTACCGAAAACAGATTATAATGTGTCACTATGTCAAGAATGAAGACTACTCTCGACGTATATCATGCACCATCCTGGCACTGCACATGTGTAATTCTATTCGACATCTGCACCATTACCGTGTTGTTGGATATATAAATGTGAAACCACTCTCATAAGAGATGCTTGACCTGAAACCTACACATTCTTTACTCAAGTGTAAGCGAGACAAATCACGAGTAAAGAGAGACAGCTACAATCGTAGGCGGTTTGCGGTCACGAAACTGGTTGTAAAGTTTATTGTTTAATGATAACAGCCTTTATAACTAAGACAACTGAGTGAATAATCGATTGCTCACTGCTAGAGGTTCTATTATTATTTTTTTCATATTAGTCATCTTAATGGCTCCAAGGATTTCCATCTGATGGAAAAACGGCTGTTGTACTTACATCTTGGAATGTTTGCCGTAGAGTAGATAACACGCGTGTTTGCCGGCGGCGAAGTTATACGTAATGTTTTGTTATTTCGGTGGCACACTCGGATTACTACTCTATAATATGTACAGTTGGCAATCTCGTCTGTACTGTGACATCTACTGTTCATATGTCACAGAGATCAACACGGTCAAAAAAATTATCTTACGTGTCCACGTTTAAATTGTATTTTCACGTATAGGTTGGATATAACATTTGAAATTAAATTTTAATGCTGGCTTTAAGGTGCCATAAAAATATACTCAGAGAAAAATAATATATGTGAGACTGCACATAAGGCTCATACTAATTTGGTTGTAATCTTTTCATAATCAGCTTACCTTGGCACTCTTTGATGCAGAGGCCGGCATCGTAGTTGTGGCTCGTCTTGTTGCAGGCTACGCTGCAGGGGGCGCACCGGTTGGTGTCCGGGGAGCAATACTCTTCGAGCTGGCAGACTAGTTGCCCGCATCTGATGCCATCTAGTGTCAGCTGCGCAGACGCGGCTCCAGCCACCGCCAGCAGGCATGCTAATCTAGACATGTTTGATCTGCAGACAACGAATGGAGCATGTTAGAAAATATATTCCAATGAACATAACATACAATCACGTCTTTTTATCCCCGAATCGGTAGGAAAAGGTGCACATTACGGCACTTAATACCTCTGTACAATGTAACACCCTTATGAATTCCAATAAATTTATTCCTAAAACGTACATATTTACTTCATGTCCTATCAAATCAAATTAACTGGCTGTCCTAGCTAGCTAGCCAGGACTTATTTTGTTACAATAAACACTTGTATCGTCAACAACAAAAGGAAGTCCTCCCAGTTAGGATTGAGTCGTAAGTACGAGTACAAAACATACACTTGAAACTCAAAGTAACCGCACTATTAAGTCCTTTAGAGGTTTAAGAGGGGTTATAAAAACAGTTGTAGTCGACGTCGTTGGATCCCCCTAGTTCCACTCAACTTCAAAGGGTTGCATATCACAATCAACTCTACATGCCATCTGCGAGACGTCAAATGCAACCATACTATGATCACAAAGCAATACTTCCCAGTCTTAATGACAAACATAAATTAAACAATGATTCCTATTTCTACTAAGATTAAAGTAACATATTTTTTCCATTCATAAAAATATATTTAGAAGCCTTTATTAAAGTAAAATCAGATTACTATTAAACTAGCTATATTCGTGTAACAATGGTTATTGAAAGGTACTAAATATAACATCCATTAGTCGAAGTTAATACCTGTTAGCTTTAAGCTGATGGTAAAACCATAGTGCCTGCAATGCTTTGCTAAACCATTATAGTGTTAGATTCAAAATACTGCGTCAGGGCTTTCTAAAATTTAATCTCCCTATATGTGTGTGTAATGGATTATTCCTCCGTATTGAAAACGTCATAACTTGTGAATTACTTGGTCTTCGAACAAGATTTGTATATAAGACAATACTCATAAAATGGAACAAATAATATCAGAATTCATTGGTAGTATTGGTTCAAGCCCCAAAATATTAACAACATAATTATATTAAAATGTTAGTGATTAACTAATATTTCAACGCCGATTATTGACGCCCTCGGTCCTCATAGTGAAGGAAAACGTCGAGTTCTCTTATACAAACTTCATTTACTTGCAGATTATATTGGCATAGTATTAGCATAAGTTATTTACACCCGACTAGCATGGCCAAGTGGAAGGAGATGAGTCTAATGCATTTAATACTAGAATAAGAATTGGATTCGCGAATGCTGAATGATTTACCTGTGGTATAATTTAATGATTTTAAGTAATTCGCTTTACTAAGTATTTTAATACTAATAAATCTCTCATTAATGTGGTGGACTATGTGACTATTTCTCGTCCGCTGCGTCATAAGTTCACTTCATTTAACACAGTCACAAATTAGTTGCTCAAAAAGATGCCAATTCGTGTGCCACTATCATTTGAATGCACCTCAGGTTACTTTTAAGTAAATAGCACTAAATTAAGGTTATATGTACTCCGTCTTAAGAAATTTCATGAAAGATAACACACTTTCTATCATAAATCTGAAATTGATTTCATCGTGTTAAGTTAAATTTGAGAAGCAGAGATACGTGTCGTGTTAAGGGTGTTCCTACTTAGCATCTAGACAACATTGTACTCGTATGTCGCTGCACGTCTCATGAACTGAAGGCAAACACCCTGTAAACCCTTAGAGCGGTTTCGCACTACATCCGACCCGAAACCGACCCGTTTTCATGAAAATACGGTCCGGCGTAGTCGTAGAACTATTTGTACATAAGTAGTTTACGCAATAGACCCGATTTCCGTCATCTGATTTCTCCCCCGTCTTCAATAAATATCTATTGACGAGTTTCTAAAAGATACGACTAGTAAAAGTAGACAGTCGTATATTTGTATGAAAGTTAGCACCATGTGTTTTAGTGACGACTGAAATCGGTTACAGTTTTCTAAATTG